CCCTGCCAAACAGTTCCCCTGGTTCTGTTCACTGGGCTGGGTCCTGCGCCGCCTCTCTACCCACTCAGCATTGCCACGGGCCTCTGACAGGGAGTGGGGCTTCTTCTTTGGATTTGTTCCAAAAGTTGGGCTCAGAGAACTGTGTGTCCAGCCCTGCATCCAGCCCTTTCCTGCCCCAGGAAGGCCAGTTGGTCAGAGCTACCACTAACAGGATGCCCGGAGCTCCACGGCTGCACAGGCTGCTTCGTTTTAGCCCCGGTCTTTTTTTTCTCCCCTAACATTTGAAACTTTATTTAAACACTATGATTTACCAAGTTATTCATAAAACAATTGTTTCAGATATTCAGGGTTCAATACACCACAGGTGTGACCTTTCCTCCACCTATGTCCCCTGACCTTAGTTGCTCTTGAAAGAGGTCTGTCATGTGTGGGCTATACACTAGACAGGGAAACTGTCTAACATGAAGAAAATGAACAAGCAGAGAGAAGAAATAGAAATAGTAGATGCATCTTCAACTTTCAGAAACTTTTTTTTCTTTTTAGGTTTTTGGGCCATACCCGGCAGTGCTCCAGGCTTTCTCCTAATTCCTGACAGCCTCAGGGGACCATACATGATGCCGGGGATCAAACCTAAGTGCAAGGCAAGCACCCTACCTGCTGCACTCCAATCACTCAGAAAGTTTTTAATTAATTTATTTTATTGGCTTGGGGTCAAACTTGGAGGTGCTCAGGGGCGACTCTTAACTCTGTGCTCAGAGGGGCACTCTCAGCATTATTCAGGGGACCATGAGATGCTGGGGATGGAACCCAGGTCTCCTGCATACAGAGCATGTGCTCAACTGACTCTGCTCTCCTCCAACCCAGACATGCTTATTTTAAATAAATGAATAGCAAGATCTGCAGGCAAGCTGAAATGCCTTTATTTGGGAATAGGCACAGAGTGCAATTTAGGCTATGCAGATTTGGGTACATCTAAAACAAGTCTCAAGGAGGGATAAAAGATGGGGGACTGGGTTGGAGATGGAGCTCATGACACAGAACTTGCTTTGCCTGTGTGAGGTCCCGAGTTTGATCCATGGCACAGCAAAACAACAACAAAAGGAACAGATAAGAACTCTAGGTGGACTAGAGAGATAGTACAGGGATTAAGCCTCTTGCCTTGCACTCGGTTGACTTAAGATTGATCCCCGATATCACATATGGTCGCCTGAGCATCACCAGGTGTCATTCCTGAGCACAGAACTAGGAATAGATTCCTGAATAGAATAGATCCCTGTGGCCCAATGACCCCCACTCCACCTCCAAATAAAATAAAAACTTTGGAAGGGGAAAAACACCATTGGAGGGGTTTTTGAGCAGAAAAGAAAGATGAGGTAAGTAGTTAATCAACATTAAAAATCCTTAAACTACTCTGCCTACACACTACTGGTAACTAATCCCGTCCTCTGGCAAAAAAAAAGTTCAGAATTTACCCGGATGATGTTCAAACAGTTGTTTGCTTGGTGGTTTTAAAAATCAATTGATTTTGGCTCAGTCTAAAGGTCTCTGGCCCAGTTAAAACAACATAGCTAACATAGTTTTCCTGTGTTGACTGCCCAACACCGTTAAGAAAAAATTGGTGGGAGAGCTGGAGAGACAGATAGTACAGAGGGGTTGGGCATTGCCTTGCATGTGCCCGACCTGGGTTTGACCCCTGGTACCCCATATAGTCCCCCGAACCCCAATAGGAGTGATCCCTGGGGGTAGAGCCAGGAGTAAGCCCTGAACACAGCTGGGTGTGGTCTCCCAAACCAAAATAAATAAATAAGTAAATAAATAAATAAAAGGTGGGGCTAGGGGATAGCTCAGAGATCTGGAGTGCATACTTTGTGTGTTTTTACTTCCATTTTGGGCTGGAGCAATAGCACAGTGGTAGGGCGTTTGCCTTGCACGCAGCCAACGTGGCCGACCGGAGTTCTATTCCTCCACCCCTCTCGGAGAGCCCGGCAAGCTAACCGAGAGTATCTCGCCCGCACGGCAGAGCCTGGCAAGCTCCCCGTGACGTATTTGATATGCCAAACACAGTAACAACAAAGTCTCCAATGGAGATGTTCCTGGGCCCGCTCGAGCAAATCAATGAACAACGGGAGGACAGTGATACAGTGATACTTCCATTTCATTCCCAGCAGCACATGGTCCTCTGAGCACTGCCAGGAGTGATCCCTGAGCAATGCTGGGTGTCCTCTTCCAGGCCAAAACCATGCCCCCTCCTCTGAAAATGGTTCCACTTATGTGGACAAGTTCCAGAAGAGGCAGAGATTGGGAAATGCAAACCCTTTGCTGCATGCATCAAATCTCTTCTCTGAACAGACTTTCACCACATGGGTTTTCTGTGGCTGCCGGGACTGTGGTAATTCTCTGGTTTTCCGGCCACCAGTCTCCCGGGAGCACTTCCTTCACACCCCACTCTGTCTATGATGACTACCTAGTGGAAGCTTGCTTCCCACAGTATATATCTGATAACCTATCTTTACTCATTTCCTCTCATTTGCTCATTTCATCTATATGCATACCAACTTCCACTTTCATCACCCTTTTATGTCTTAGTTCTTTTTTTTTTATCACAAAAAGTTATACCTTCATCACCTCTTTGAATCTACACTCCCCCTATCCCCCTTTGCCCCATTTTTTTTCCTTTTTGGGTCACACCCGGTGATGCACAGGGGTTACTCTTGGCTCTGCACTCAGGAATTACTCCTGGTGGTGCTCGAGGGACCATATGGGATGCTGGGAATCAAATCCGGGTCAGCAGCATGCAAGGCAAATGCCCTACCTGCTGTGCTATCGCTCTAGCCCCGCACCCTTGCCTCATTCTTCTTGAGGAGTCTGGGTGGGCCTGTGTCCTTCAGGTGTCTGTGGAGGCCCCCCTCCTCCCTGCCCTCTGGTCTGCACTCTGTAAACCTCAACCAATTTTACCAGCCTTCCCTGATGACTGGCTTTGTACTAGGCATAAAATAAATGTCTCTAGAATGAATGTTCCTCATTTCTTCTAAAGCATTTCACATGGGCCCATCCCCAGGAGGCTGAGCATACCCCCACGTACCAGCTCAGATTCGGGATGGTGGAGATCATTAGCTCCACACCCCAGGGGCTCACTGCCAGGACCAGGCCCTGTGAAGTAGGAGACAGGCACATCGAAATCCCTGGATGTATGGGGGGGGGGGGGCAGTAAGGAGTGAGTGTGGGGTGCACCTGCTCTTGTGAAGGAGGGAAGCCCGCACTCTGGCAGAGCATGACTGGCAGATCGTGCAGCCAATGAGCGGGTGCCCCTGAGGTGGGCCGTGACTCGGGGGTAGCAAACCAGATCAAGCAGGGAGAGACCCGTGGAGGGACAGAGCGCCGCGGAAATGGAAAACGGCCACCTGTCAGAGCCTTTCAAATGGTCCTTAACACTTTGGGGTTCTGGGTTCGATGCCCAGCGCCACAAAGTGAAAAAAAAATCATAGAGAACTCGAGTGATAGCACAGTGGGTATGGCATTTGCCTTGCACGCGGCCAACCTAGGTTCGATTCCCAGCATCCCATATGGTCCCCACCTCCCCCCCCAGCACTGCCAGGAGTAATTCCTGAGTGCAGAGCCAGGAGTAACCCCTGATCATGCTGGGTGCAAACCAAAAACAAAAGAAAATCATAATTAAAACAATGGAGTCCGATACTTCACCCTTTGCTGAGCACTGAATCAGCACGTGGGGCAACACCCTGAAGGCAACGGGAGACCTTTATTAGCCCCTGGAGCATTTTCCCACCCGGAGGCAGCACATCAGAGGTAAGAGATGGAAAACCAAGGCATCTTGCAAGGACCCCTGGAGCCCCACAGGAGCCGCCCCGGGGGCGCACCCAGGCAGTGGAGGCGACGCAGGGCCGGAGGCCGAGTTAGAACTTGCTGGCGGACAGTGTCAGAAGCCACTTGGGCACGCGGAGGAAGCCAGGCAGGTAGGAGGCCAGCCAGCCCACGCTGGACACGCGGGACAGCGCGGAGCTCACGGACAGGTAATCTTGGACAGGGCGGCCTGCGGGGACAGGAGAGCGTCATCCCTGCGCGGGGCCTGAGGACACCGCGCCAGGGGCGCTGAGGGAAGGCGCTCAGGGACAGGCCACACGATGCTCACCGTCCACATCCTGAAAGCCATAGCGCCGTGCCAGGTCGCAGGAGGGCAGCACCTTCCCACTCAGGCTCAGGATATTGGGGTCTGCGGGCACACAGACAGACAGACAAAAAGATGGACAGACAGCCAAGCTGGTCCTGGGTGAGGGGCATGGTGGGGGGCGGGGTACAGAGTGATGGGGCCTGAGAGGTCTGCAGGGGAGCCCGGAGCTGTTGCTCTCAGTTCCTTGGCAGCTGCTTCCTGGGTCTCCGGCTCCAGGCACCAGTTCTTGAGGCTCCCTGAACCCCAGGGCTGGGCAGCCTAGCCTCGAGGGTCTCCAGAAGCCAGAGGAAAGACAGACATGTCCCCCACTGCCTCCAGAGCCAGGCCCGGTGGCCACCCCCACTCCGTCCCCGCAGCTCCGCCCTTTCATGCCATCCTCTGGCCCCCCACCTTTTTACCTGTGGCCAGAGCCACTACACATTTGCCGCTCACTTCGGTGGTCTCCGCAGTTGATAAATCCATCTGGAACTGAAGCACAGGGGCAGAGCCACCAAGGCTTGGTTTTCCGGAGCTGGGCCCCACTCCCATTCCAGGAGCCGGTGAGGCCGCAGGTCACGGTCTGCGATCCCCATCCCAGGTCCAGGGGCCCTGGCTGCAGCGTGGGAGACTCACGGGGCCCCCTCCCCAATGCTGGGGTCTGGGGATATCTGTAGACCTTGCTGGTGAGTGGGGGGGGGGGCGTCAGGAGAACAAACCTGCCTCCACTCTCGGTACGTGGGGGCTGGAGAGTATCCAGAGCTCCCCGGCTCTCCCAGCCACCTTCTGGGCATCAAGACCCACCTCCTGCCAGGACCTAGAGCATGTGTGCCGTGTGGCCTGCCCAGGGTAGCCCTGGGCACAACATGCTCTCCCAGCCTGCGATGCCCGTCAGAATAGAAGGTCAGCTGCCCCACACTGCCTGCCTCCTTTGCCCAGCCCTCACCCACCTTCTTAAGCACAGAGTCGGCGGTTTTGTCGGTTTTTAAACGCTCCATCAGCATTTCTGTCTGTACCAACCCCGGCCAGAGAGACACATAGCTGACCCCGTGGGGCTTCAGCTCCAGGGCACAGTCAGCAGCCATCCTGTCACACTGTAGAGGGACAGGGGTGGTGGTGGTGGTGGGGAGGGGGTTGTCAGGATGCCAGCCCTGTCACCTCCCTCCCTTGCACTGCTCCTTCCCCCCGCTCTTTTATGAGGGAGCCCCAGGTGTCTTCCTGGGGTCACCAACCTCCTAAGCTGGCTGTATGGTCACTGTTCTATATCTGCCCGTCCCACCCCCACCCCCACCCCAGCCCCCGCCAGGGCCATTTGTGTCCTCACCGCAGCTTTGCCCACGCCATAGGATGCATTGAAGAGGTATTTCAGTCCCCCAGCGGAGGAGATGATCACGATGAGGCCCCGGCCGGCGGGAACCATCATCCGTGCCCCATACACGGAGCACAGGTAGTGGCCCCTAGGAGGTGGGTGGGAGGGAAGGAAAAAGGCACGGGTGGGCAGGGCTGGCCTGGGGGCTGTGGCCCAGCGGCGGCAGCCTCTGCCCTCTAGTGGGCAGGTGTTAGCAGGAGAATCAGGAGAATCAGGAGAATCAGGATGTGGCAGTTTAAGGCCACATCCTGACAATGGAGCCCCCATCTAGGGAACCCCTGGCAGGAGGGAAATGTTCTATTTTAGAAGACTGGAAAAAATGGAAAGAAAGAGCTCTGTCCTAGTGGCAATAAAGGTCTCAGGGGGTAAAATGTGAGAAACACACTGGATCTGGGGTCAGGTGGGTAGCTCAAAAGGGTGAAAAACATGCCTTGCAGGTTCAAGACCCCAGGTTCTATTCCTGGTATTGCTTGGCCCCCTAAGCACTATTGGCAAGACTCCCATGTCAAAAAATATACAGTATCTGCACAAAAAAACTAGACCAGTAGAATATAATTTGTTCAAAGGAAAAGCAACAGGGGGCTGGAGTGAAAGCATAGCGGGTAGAGCCTTCGCCTCGCACGTGACTGATCCAGGTTTGATTTTCAGCATTCCATATGGTACCCTGAGCGCGGCCAGAGGTAATTCCTGAGTGCAGAGCCAAGAGCAACCCCTGTGCATCACCAGGTGTGACCCAAAAAGAAAAAAAAAGCAACAGGTAAAACATCTACTTTAATCTATAGATTAATAGCTTCAGCCAATTTTAAGTGTGCATCAGTGAGACTTTTGAGGAAAAGGACTAATCTGAAGCTCAATGTTACCTTGTGGGTAAGGGGATGTAAGCTACTTCCTGCCACCCCACAGGAAAATGTACAATGATGTCATAGTTAAATAACACACAACGGGGATAACAATACACAGAGAAGCCAATGAAATGAGAGAGTCAGCGACTAAATCCAAGGAGGCTTCAGCAAATGATAAAGGGACCATTTCCAATGAATGGGCAAAGATGGATCATCCAAAACTGGTAATAGGCCAGCTCTTTGGTGGATGGGAGTGTCCTGCTACCTCAGATTTTGTTGTTTTTGAGTCACAGCCGGCTGTACTCAGGGGAACTCAGGGGATCATATAAGGTGCCAGGGCTCAAACCCGGGTCAGCCATGTTCAAAGCAAGCTTCTTAATTGTACTGCTATGCCTCCATTACCTTATTTCTTATTTCAGGACGCACCTCACAGAGTTAAATATTTTGATTTAAAAAACAAATGCAGAAGCCTAAGCAATAATACAGAGGGTAGGATGCTTGCTTTGCACGTGGCCAACCTGGGTTTGATCACCTACACCACATCTGCCAGAAGTGATCCCTGAGTGCAGAGCCAGGAGGCAGCACTGAGCATAGGCAGGTGTGGTCACTCCCCCACCCCACCCCCAGCTCCAAATTAAAAAAAAAAATTAGGGGCTGGAGAGATAGTACAGCAGACAGGGCGCTTGCCTTTCACACAGCTGACCTGGGTCTGATTCCAGGCACCCCATATAGTCCTCTGAGCAAGCCAGGAGTAATGCCTGAGCACAGAGGCAGGAATAATTGGCCCAAAACAAAAGCCTTCCCTCCCTCCCCCCCGAAAAAAAAAAAAAAGAAGAAAATAAACAAAATTAGAGGCACTGGAGAACTGGCACAAAGGTCTGAGCACATGTTTTGCATGTTGGAGGCCCAGATTCAGTCCCTAGCACCCCATGGTCTTGAGCACTGCTGAAAATGATCCCTGAGTACAAAGACAGAAGTAGGCCCGGAGCATCATCTGTTGTGGCCTCATGGTCATGGTCACGGTCCTCCCGTTGTTCGTCGATTTGCTCGAGCGGGCCCAGTAACGTCTCCATTGGAGACTTTGTTGTTACTGTGTCTGGCATATCGAATACGTCACGGGGAGCTTGCCAGGCTCTGCCGTGCGGGCGAGATACTCTCGGTAGCTTGCCGGGCTCTCCGAGAGGGGCAGAGGAATCGAACTCGGGTCGGCCATGTTGGCTGCGTGCAAGGCAAACACCCTACCGCTGTGCTATCGTTGTGGCCTCAATACAAAACAAATTAAAAAACAGAACTATTTATATGATTCAGGAATTCTACTCCAAGTATTCACTCGGGGAATATAGAGACACTCAGTTAAAAGGACAGGCCCGCCTATATTCATCAACACACTATGTACAGTAGCCGAGATCTGGAAACAACACAAGTGCCCAGTGACACATGATGAACAAAGAAGTGGCATATATACCACACTGATAGACAATAGTTAGCCATGAGAAAAGGTGCAATCTAATTTTTGCTATAACAAAGATGCAGCAAACACCTGCAAAAAATGAACTCTGACCTCTGTCTAACATCAGGCACAAAAGTTAGATCAAAATGGATTCAAGACCTCAATATCAGACATGAATCTATAAGGTACGTGGAGGAAAATGTAGGCAGAACCTTCCATAACATCCTTAAAGATGATTTTAGCTTCAATGTTAAGGATCAAGCAAGTGGAAACAAACATAACCAAATGGGACTACATCAAACTAAGAAGCTTCTGCACCTCAAAAGAAACAGTGACCAAAAAACAGAGAGTCCACAGAATGGGAAGGACTATTTATCCAATACCCATCTGATAAGGGATTAATATCCAGGATACAAGACACCAGTAGAATTGCACAAGAAAAAAACCTCCAACTCCATCAAAAAATGGGGAGAAGAAATGACAGAAGCTTCCTTAAAAAAGAAATACAAATGACCAAAGGGCACATGAAAAAATGCTCCACATCCCTAATCATCAGGGGAATGCATATCAAAACAACAATGAGATATCATCTCACACCACAGAGACTGGCACACATTCAAAAGAACAAAAGCAACCAGTGCTGGCATGGATGTGGGGGAAAAAGGGACGCTCTTTCACTGTTGGTAGGCATGCCAAATGGTCCAGCCTTTCTGGAAAACAATATGGACATTCCTTCAAAAACTAGAAATTAAGCTTCCATATGGCCCCATAATACCACTTCTGGGAATATATCCTAAGGGTGCAAAAAAGCACAGTAGAAATGACATCTGCACCTACATGTTCATTGCAGCACTATTCACGATAGCCTGAATCTGGAAACAACCTGAGTGCCTGAGAACAGACTACTGGTTAAAGAAACTTTGGTACATCTACACAATTGAATACTATGCAGCTGTTAGGAGAGATGAAGTCATGAAATTTGCTTATAAGTGGATAGACATGGAGAATATCTTGCTAAGTGAAAAGAGTTAGAAAGAGAGGGACAGACACAGAAGAACTGCACTCATTTGTGGAATATAAAATAATATGAGACTGACACCCAATGACAGTAGACACAAGGGCCAGAAATATTGTCCCATAGTTGGAAGCCTGTCTCATGAGCTGAGGGAGAAGGCAGCTGGAATAGAGAAGGGATCACTAAGACAATGATGGTTGGAGGAATCATTTGGGATGGGAGATGTGTGCTGAAAGTAGATAAAGGACCAAATGTGATAACCTCTCAGTATCTGTATTGCAAACCATAATGCCCAAAAGTAGAGAGAGAGTATGGGGGAAATTGTCTGCCATGGAGGCAGAGGGAGGGTTGGAAAGGGGGTGTATACTAGGGACATTGGTGGCGGAGAATGTGCTCTGGTGGAAGGATGAGTGTTTGATCATTGTATGATTGAAACTCAAACATGAAAGCTTGTAACTGTATCTCACAGTAATTCAATTAATTAAAAAAATATAGCAAACATCCATAGATGGAAATACAGAGGGTCATGCTAAACAAAATTAGGAGAAATGCATATAATGGTTAATCTCATGCATCCTGAAATAAAGCAAGGGAACAGGAACAGAAACAGCAAGCAAGAACAAACCCCTAGACTCCCATGCCAGAACTACTGTTAACCACTGCAAGGGAGTAGTGAGCTATAAGGATAGAGTGTAGTGGTGGGTTGTGGTGGAAGCTACTGACACTTCAGTAGTGGGTGTGGTATGATAACATTGTATCCTGGGAAACATAAACATTTCAGTCTTGTAAGCCAATGTTACCTTGGTTAAAAAAAAAAAAGAAAAAGAAACAAAGTTGAGTCTCACAAATGATGAAGATATATAGATTAAAACCACCTCTATTTACATCCATTAAAAGCAGCTATCAGAGCCCGAGGCATGCTTTACTAGATGGTCAGATAATGTCTAATATGGCTGAGGACATGACCTAGCTCAGTGAGTGGCAAGTGCAGGAAACGGGGAACACCCACCTGAGTCCCACATTGTTGACATCATCCCAAATAGAGGCAGGACATTTCCAGAATTCCTTCCCAAAGTGGTTCATGAGTGTCTGGAAGACACAAGGTGCAGCAGGGACGTGAGGATCTGAAGGCAGGAAGGTGGCAGGAAGGCTGGCTCACGGAGTGGGAACTGGGGGAGAGATCCAGAGAGTGAAGCTGGGGTCAGAGTTTGAAGCCTACCTGGACCCCGGCATAGGCATTGTTCACTAGCACGTCCAGGCGCCCGTTCTGTTCCCGATCCACCTGCTCAAACAGGCTTTTCACTTCACTCTCCTGGCTTGAATCACACACCACCGGCACACACTGGCCCCCTCGGGCTTGTGCCTGGTTAGGGAAGAAAGAAATGTGGTCTGACATTCGGTGTGAGAGATGACACAGTCCCCATTAACGCAGGGAGCCAGCCCGAAGCAGAAGGAACAAGGCAGCCGATACTGCCCTCTGGTGTCTGTCTGAGGAGTTTCGGGACTGCTTAGTTTAGAAAACCGGATTGGAATCTCCGGCTTAAAATCGACATTGATCATAGCAGCTCTATCAAATGAGACTCTACGAGCCAAAAGGGAATGGGGCAATAAAGTACAAAAAAACTCAATGATTGAACATACCACCAAGAATCATATATCCAGCTAGATTATCATTCACACTGAAGGAACGATACAGAGCTTCATGGACAGGCAACAATTTAGGGAATTCATAGCCTTGAAACCAGCCTTGCAAGAAGTGTTAAAAGAGCTTTAGGACAGGACAAACTTCTCAGCATGTGGCACTGACTAAGGTACTCACTCATGGTTGCCCTTTGCTAGATTAAGGAAGGTTTGTGTACTTACTCCTAGCTTGCTAAGGGATTTAATAATTTTTCAATAGTGAATTAAATCTCATTTATATTAAATATGCTATGTCTTATTAGTATTTTCAGTATTCTTTTCTTAGGATAAAATACTCTGTACTTGTACAGGTTTTTTTTTTGGTGGGGTGAGCATACCCATGGTGCTCCGGGGTTCCAGGAATAGAACCTGGGTTGGCTGCATGCAAGTCAAATACCCTACTCACTATTGGCCTCGATTTTCTTAATTCTTTTCACTCTTACTAAAATTTACAGTTGTAGGCTTTACCTATTTCAAGTAAACTCTAAAATATATTAGGAAAGAATTTAAAAAATGGTTATGTTAATGACAAGGAATGATTATTACCATTAATTAGACCCAAGTACAAAATAAAAGTTAATGCAAAAATATCTCAGATAACAGAAATAAAACTTATCAATGTAAATGATTTTAATTTCATTATTTACATAGGTTAAAATCGTATAGCAATCAATCATCACAAATTGACTTTTATTGATTTATTTTCTGATAATGGTATTTGCCATTCCTCTAAGTATTCTTGGAGCAAGAAATATGAACTAAATTTGTTTTGTTCCTGCTAAGGGGTCAGGCTGGGGGTAGGGGTAGGGAAACTGAGAACATTGGTGAAGGGAATGTTGAATGAGAGAATCTCAGTGGTGGGATTGGTGTGAGAACATTGTATGCTTGAAACAGCTGTATTATGTATAACCTTGTAAATCGCGGTGTTTTAATAAACATAAATTAAAAAAAAAACAAAACCAACATTTACTGAGGCCTACTACGTGCTGAGGGATGCTCTTGAGAAATTACTGTCTTCCTCCTGGTCCTTGGTCTTTTCCAACTGGGGTGCCTTTAGTTCCCGCCTTCACCACTCCCAGAACCCCTACTCAATCCCATCCTTTCACCTATTCAACAACACTCCCTCCTAGTAATTGAGAAATCAAGCTTTCAGGTAAGGCCTACTTCTACGTCTTGCTTTGCCTCATCCTCTACAAATGTTTCCCAATCCCCTTAGCTCAGAGGGAGATGAGTAGCCCTTACCTTCTTTTAAGCTTTTTCCTAACTGCTTACCCATCTCTGGTCTTTCTGCCTTAAACTGACTCTTGGTACTGCACTTGGCATGCAGCACCTAAAACATAAAACTATTTAAGATCTTCCAACTAGGATCATCATCTTTTAGGAGGATAAAGCCCAAGTTCTCTACTAGGGTTTTCTGGTGGTTCTCAGGGCTCTGAGCTCAGGGATCACTCATGGTGGGCTTAGGAGACCATACGGGGTGCCAGGGTTCAAACCCAGGTCAGCCACGTACAAGGCAAATGCCATACACACTGTACTATCACTCCAGCCCTCTTCTGTTTTTATGCTCTGATGTTACTTCTTGCAATAGCCACAGTCTTTGCTCTTTTCCTTCTGTTCATCTAGCTCCCTTTGATGAATTGTTTTTCCTTTTTCTTTTTTGGGGGACGATACTCAGCTGTGCTCAGGGCTCATTCATGGACCTACACTTGGGAATCATGCCTGATCGGACTATGGGGACCATATGTGGTATCAGGGATCAAACCTGGGCGCACTGCATGCAGGGTAAGTGCCTTACCACCTGGACTATCTCTGGCCTCTGAATAATTTTTCTTAATTTCCTTTTTCTAGGTCTTCTCTTCCAAGATGAAGTTGAAGAAACACTTCTAGAATGTTCTCCTGAGTCATTCTCCTATTGCCTTGATGCCCACTGCATGCTCCCAGGGAACTATGTGTGCACCTCCTCCTTATGGCTTACTCAGTTCACATTACATTGCAATGGTCCATTTCTCCTGCTCACCCCCTGCAGAGTCTCATTTAGAACCACCAGCTAAATCTTATTAATCTTAATAATCCCAGTGTTTCATCCAGTGCCTTGTAAATCAAACACATTCAAATCTTTAACTGGAATATAAGAAGGAGGAGGAGGACGAGGAGGAGGAGGAGGAGGAGGAGGAGGAAGTCAATTGAGATGCCAGCCCTTTGCCATCTCAGCAGGCCTACCTGCACATCTCCTGAACCTCTGCTCGCCCCTCTAACCCTTTAGGTGAGGTTAATCTGATGTATGACATTTCATAGCCTTTTTTGGAATCTGAAGCAGATTTCCTTTCCTTCTGGTCAAGGCCAGCAGCCTCTGTGTCTGTCCTCCACCCTCTCAGCAGGCCTATTTCTACATCTCCTGACAGTTTTACTCATCACACCTCACACTGATCACACTGATACTTCCTCACTGAGTGAAGACTGGCTGCAAAGGAAAAGAGCAACTCCTAGACTATTCTCTCAGAGACTCCCAGAGGGGCTAGGATTCACCCTCGGCACAGCAGAAGCAAGAAATCCAATGGGGAAGACTCAGAAGCCCACCAAGTTCAGTGAGTGAAAACAGTAACACAGAAGACCCAACCAGCACCATCTAGCTCTGTGAGCACTCAGAAAACGACTTTAGTGACACCCTGGTGAGGATGTTTAATGAGCTCAAAGGAGTGGCAGAGGGCAGTCAGCAAAGTACATGAAAGTATGAATGTGAAAATGAAAAAAAACAACATTCAGAAGTTACAGAAAGGAAGAGCATGGTAGGTGATATTAAAAAAAAATTCAATAGAAGCTCTGAGCAACAAAATAACAGCAGCTGAGGAAATCTCTGTAAAAGAAGAGAAGGAAGAAGTTTAAAAGGAAATAAATAGCATACCAGAGAACTATGGAACGAGCTCAAAAGGAACCATATAAGAATCATTCGAGTCCATGAAGGATAGGAAGACAAGTTCAATGAAGAATGGATAGTTGGAGAAATCATAGAAGAAAATTTCCCAGAGTTGAGGAATACAGGCATTGAGATTCAGGAGGCCTTCAGGATCCCAGTGAAAATAGACCAAAACAGAAATATTCCAAGACACATTGCACTTAGAATGACAAAAGCCACAGCCAAAGACAGAATATTGAAAGCCGCACGATCAAAAAATGAATGTAAATACCAAGGAAAGCCCATAAGATGTTCAGCAGATCTGGATCAAATGAGACTCTACAAGCCAGAAGAATATGGAAAGATACAGTGCAAAAACTCGACAAAATGAACACCTCATCAAGAATACTGTATTCAGCTAGATTATCATTTAGATTTGAAGGAACTACACGCAGCTTTGGGGATGGGGAATTCACAGCCTTGAAACCAGTTTCACAAGAAGCATCAAAGGAGCTTTTTTGAAAGACAAGCCAAAAGCCTTAAGCACCTTTCCATTGAGTATGGTACTCACTAACAGTGCATATGATTGCTCTCTACTAGATTAAGAAAGGTATGCTTACTCCTAGATTGCTGAAAGATTGTATATCTTTTCAATAATGACTTAATGTTTCATGAAAAAAACGAAAAGCTGAGAACTGCTCAAGGCACCCAGAGGGGGCTCGGGCTGTAAAGCTGAATCACTGCCTACCTGAGGAAGAGTCCCATGCCTCATCTGTGCCACCATGAGGGAATGGCCGCAATCTCACTGACCTCCAGCACCATCCAACCTGAGCACCCCTGAGGCCCCTCAGCCAAGCACTCCCACGGCAATGGACACATGGCAACCATGACGATGCCCACCACCTTCTATTTTGGCTACCAGAATGCAGAGCTGCTGTGTTTGGGCTTGGTGATCAACAGCGCCTGTGTCCTGGTCCTCATTGTCCTGATAATGTTTGTCTTGGTGCTCTGCTGTGAAGGCCTTAAGGTGGCTGGAGAGAAACTTCTGTACAGGGACCAGAGTGCCCCCTGGTAGCAGCCACTAAGATGGCCTTACCTGGTGCAGATAATCACTCTGCAACTCCTCCAGGACATGTGACTATGGCCTACAGCACCTGCCTTACCCTGGTTATGCTGGCAGGGGACAGTTGCTCTCCTGCTGGAAGAATACCATGCTCCTGGATCTGGATGTGGCAAACTCTTACCACTCACTGGGCAAGTTGCCAGGTATGGCAGGTGCCACAGGTTACAGGCTGCAGGACAGGATTCCCCTTCTGTGCCACTACCTGCCATTGTCCCTCTCTGCTCTGCCCACAACCCTGGCTGTTCTTTAGTGAGCTGATCTGCTCTCCCCTCTTTCCCAAGGAAACCCAGAAACCAAACTGCAATGAAAAAACTTGAGTCTTTGGACTAAAAAAAAAAAAAAAAAAGCTGAGTGAAAAGATAGTGTTGGGAGTCTTCCTGGACTAGAGGAAAGCAGAATTGCATCACTGCTGAGTGGCAACCCCCAATCCTTGTCACCCCCATACAAAACTACTCAGAAAACTTAGGAGGAGGTAACAGTTAATGGGATCGAAGTTTCTTGCCGGCTCTTTGAACCCACTGTGAATAGACATTCAACTTTTGCGGGGACAGGGGCACACCTAGCACTGCTCAAGGGTCACTCCCGGCTCACTTCCTGCATGAACCACATGGGATGCCGGGGATACAACCTGGGTAGACCGATTGCAAGGCAAATGCCCTACCTGCTGTACTATCACTTCAGCCCCAACAATCACCTTTTGCGGGAGTGTATGTGTGTGTGTGTGTGTGGGGAAGACAGTGATGTTTCCAGGGAGGGCGGTGGAGGGGCAGCCCTGGAGAGGATTCCCGATGCCCCTGAGTCTGGAAGTTCACACTCACCTCCTGTGCGGTGGCCTGCAGCGTGTCCTGGTGGCGTCCGGTGATGTAGACCGTGGCGCCGGCCTCACAGAGCTGCAGGGCAATGCCGCGGCCGATGCCTCGGGACGCGCCGGTCACCACGCACACTTGGCCCTTCATAGCTGCAGCCATGACTCGCAAATCTATTGGGGACAAAGACCTATTTTCAGGTGCGCTTCGCCCGCCTGGCACGCCCTCATCCACTGCCCCGCTTGCGATCGCAGAGCGAGCCCGACCCCAGCCCAGAGCGAGTGAGGTCTCCCCAAAGCAAAAACCAAAATCAAGAACTATCCCAGGGAGGCCTATAGGAAGGGGGTACCCCGGCAATGATAAACGGGGCACCCGGGCTGAAATTCTTTTTGGTTTTGGCTTTTGGGCCTCATCCGGCAGTGCTCAGGGGTTACTCCTGGCTTTGCGCTCAGGAATTACTCCTGGTAGTGTTCGGGGGACCACCCTGGATGCGGGGGATTGAATCCGGGTCGACTGCGTGCAAGGCAAACGCTCTACCCGCTGTAGTATCGCTTCGGCCGGGGGTTGGAATTCTCAGACAGTGACCACGGAGTGATGGTCACGGGACAGAGTAAAGAGGTGGGAGGGGCTGTCGGCTGCATCCCCTCGGAGACGTGGTGGGGGTCTCCGGGTGCGGGATTCCACCTTGCAGTCCCCTGGTCTTCCAGTAGCATCGGGGGCTGAGACCCTGTACCTGGTCCAGTTAGGCTGAGCTCGGCGCGGTTCCAGCACAGGGTGCGGAGCTCAGGTCCAGGGACTCCGAGGCCTCTCGCCCCTTACCTGCCACCGGTGCCGCCTAGCTCTTCCAGATCTCGAAATCGAGACTTCGGACCGGCCGCGGGGGCGGGATGAGACAGCGAGAAGTGAGTCAGAAAAGGAGGGTGAATGTCAAGTCGGCGGCGGCCGGGGTTTGGCGGGTGATCCCGGCGCCTGGAAGAGGCGTGGCTAGGCCGGAGCTGGGCGGGGCCGGGCGGTCCGGGGGCAGGGCCAAGAGAGAGACACACCCACTCGCGCCCGCTGGGAGTCGTCGCGGGGTTATGACGTATCACGCGCGCCCCCAGTTCGCCGGCGTGTCTGAGCCCTGCCGGAGCCAGGTGTGTTGCTCGCTGCTGCAGGGCTCGGGACTCCCGAGGAAGCTCTCGCCCGCGGGACAGCCCCCGCTGAACCCATGGGGCTGGCTCCGCGCTCCCCGCACAAAGCGGGGCGCCGGTTCCAAGCTGGCGGCACCCGAGGGCGCGGGGCCAAAGGGTCGAGGCGGCCCCCAGCAGGGCGCCCGCGGCCACCCGGCCCGCCGCGCGAAGGGCGCTCGGAGTCGGCTCCTGAGGCGCCCCCTCACCTGAGCCCCGAAGCCCTGGGGTATTTTCGGCGAGCGCTGTCGGCGCTGAAAGAGGCTCCCACGAGCGGAGAAGAAAGAGGTAGGGGATCTTAAACTTGAACAACGACCCTCCCCACCCCACCCCGTGCTCAACTGAATCACCTCTCCCCTCTGCCCTTACTCTTAGAGCTGTCCCCTAAACAGTCCTTTGTATACTCGCCTTTTGGCCTCTGCCCGCTAATCGTCAGCCTCCTGAATTATCCTAATTATTTTTCTTATTCATTTTGGTGTTGGGCCCACAACCGGCAGTTCTTAGGGCTTCTTCTTGACTCTGCGTTCAAAGATCATTCCTGGCAATGCTTGGGAGACCATGTGGGATGCCAGGGATTGCACAGGGATTGACTGCGTCCAAAGCAATCACCTTAACCCCTGTGCTATCCCTCGAACCTAATTTCTTTAAAAACACGAAGAGTACTCTTCTTCGCCTACTCACTGCTGAACGTCCTACACCCTCCCTACCGCGAACCCCAGTACCCCCATCAGAAAAAAGAGGTAGATTGGGGATGGGACGAAGAGAAGGGCTAGTAGGCTTATAAAAGCCAGGTTCGCGGGCGGGAGAGATAGTATGCCAGGTCCGGGTAAGATGCTTACCCTGCCCGCCACCTCTTGGCACCCCAGATGGTCCCCTGAGCTCAGCCAGGAGTGATTTCCCCTGAGCACAGAGCCAGGAGTAAGCAAGAAAAATCCAAGGGATGGGCGAGGGAATTCTCTTGGGTTCCCATGGCCAGGGGATTTGCTTTCATCTTGCCTGTCCTTGTTCTGTCACCCTGCATGCCCCGGGATGGAGCATAACTTATCTTCTTCTGCGCCTCTAACTCGTTTCTTTTCCCGGTGTCTTCAGAGCTGATGGTGCGCAATGTGTTGAAGGAAGTGGAGGAGCAGGCCCTCGCGTTGGCCCTGAACCGGACCGGCAGTGAGATGTTGCAGGAACTCTTGGAGTTGAGCCCCCAGAAACCGCTGTGCCGAGTGTGGGCTGCCCTGCGCGCCAACTTACGCTTGGTGGCATGTCACCGCTGTGGCGTGCATGTATTGCAGAGTGCTCTGCTGCAGCTGCCTCGACTGCTGGGGAGCCCGGTGAAGGAGGCGCAGGAGGAAGAAGAGGACGAGGAGGACGGGGAGGATGAGGAGAAGGGGAAGGACGGACCCTTGGAAACTCTGGAAGAGCTGGTCCTGGGACTCGCCTCTGAGGTGTGTGAGGATTTTCTCACCTACTGTGGAGACACACACGGCAGCTTCGTGGTCAGAACTCTGCTGCAGGTGTTAGGAGGGACTGTTCTGGAGTCGGAGCGAGCCAGGCCCCGGAGCTCCCAGGCACCAGGTAAGTATGACCCACCAAGGTAGTGGGGAGCTTGAGGAAGGGAGGGTGTAGGGCGTTCAGCAGTGAGTAGGCTGGGAAGAGTACTCTTCATGTATTTAAAGAAATTAGGCTGGAGGGATGGCACAGGGGTTAAGGTGATTGCTTTGCATGCAGTCAATCCCTGTGCAATCCCTGGCATCCCATATGGTTCCCCAAGCATCGCCAGGAATGATCCCTGAGTACTACCAGTTGTGGGCCCAATACCAAAATGAATAAAGAAAAATAGTTAGGATAATTTAGGAGGCTGAAGATTAGTGGACACAGAGGCAAAAGATGAGTATGCAGAGAATTGTTTAGGGGACAGCTTTAAGAGTAGGGCAGAGGGGAGAGGTGATTCAGTTGAGCCGGGGGCGGGGCGGGGGGGTCGTTGTTCAAATTTAAACCATAACCCACAGTAAGAACAAAAATTTAGGGCTGGCAATATATCTCAATGGGTTAAGCAGGCCTGGGTGTGATCTTCAGCACCGCATGTCGGCCCCCCTCTACCCGCCTCTAGCGCTATGAGAAGCACTCTGGAGCGCAGCCCGGAGTGGCCTCAGAGCAGTGCCTGGTGTGGCCCAACCCCAGTTGTTCAGTTATTGGTTTGGGGCCACACCTGGCAGTGCTTAGGGAATATTCCTGGCTCTGTGTATGGGGGTCACTCCTGGTGGTGCTCCGGGGACAATATGGGTTGCTGAGAATTGAACTGGGGTCATCCACATGCAAGACAAGCTTCTTAAGTTGTTGTATACTATTTCTCCTTCCCTCCCTATCACACACCCCACCACCAATTGATCAGAGGAAGTGTATGCTTTGTATGCTAGAGCCCTGAGTTTGATACCTGATACCACATACTTCTCGAAGTAGTATCAAGACTGACCCCAGAGTTGGGGCAGACAGTCTCTCCCCAACCCCCTGTACTTCTGGAATCCCTGGCAGCCACACCCATATCCCACAACTTACCATGTAAACTCACTGCCCAGTTAAATATTCTGGAGTTTCTGGAGTGCAGAGCTGCAAAAACCAACAGCTCTGAGCTCTATAATACTGACATCTCAGTAGGAGCACACCAAATTAGATGCGAAAGTAACATAGATGCCAACTAAGCTTAAACAAGACCACCAACCAAAAGGCTCCACTAGCAGCAAACAGCTTAGTAAACCCTCAGACAAGGACTTAATGTCCCTTTGGTGAGATACAACAATTTTCACAAATTTTCTTTTACTGAAGTATTTAATAATTGCATTAGCCATTTAGTTGTAACAAGCAATATGAAATATTTTGTGTCTGCTAAAGGGGCAGGCTTGGGGAAGTGGTTGTGAAAATGGGATGATGGTAGAGGGAAGGTCACACTGATGATGGGATTGTTGTTGGAATACTGAATGCCTGTAATCAATGCATCATGAAAAACTTTGTAAACTATGGTGTTTAAATAAAGGGGGCGGGGGAGACCAACCTAAGAGCACCATCAGGTGTCACCCAAAAACAACAAAGAAAAGAAAAGAAACCTAACTCAGGCTGTGTATGTGTTTTTGTACACATAATTCAAGAAAAAATTTCAGGAGACTGCTCTTAACTGCGTGCATCCCACTTACATTCTTTCCTCTTTAAAGTTGCCATCCCTTCCCTTCCCCTTGTTGCTGCCTTGGTGGCCTCAGTTGTGTTCATTTCAGTGGTGTTCAAAGGGGGGGATTGGGGATAGGTTGGAGGGGGGGTGGCACTGGTGTTTATGCATGTGATCGCTGGGGAGGACTGCAGGACTCTGCGGGGCGAGCATACACACTCCCGTGGCACGTGAGGTCCCACACTGTAATGCTGCTGAGTTCAAACTCTGCATGTGAGTGGCACAGGGGTGGAACTCACGGACTCCTGTTGGCAAGGAAGGTACCCGTAGCCACCGAGCCATCTCTGCATTTTGTTATTCAGTTCTAGTCTGTCCATTTCTTTCTCCCTCTTTCACACACTCACCCGTGGATCCAAACCCATTGCTTGACCAGTCACTCTGGGCAGTACTTAATGAGAGCCTGCACTTCTGGTGACTGAACTAAGGGTTCCTGCCTGCAAAGCCTGCAACCATCTCTTCTGCCTTTGTTCTGTTCCGTTTAAAATATACTGCTTGAGGGACTGGAGCGATAGTAACAGTGGGTTACTATTAGAGTAACACTTGCCTCACATGGCCAACCGGGATTTGATCCCTGGCATTCCATATCATGAGCACCACCAAGAGTGATCCCTCAGCACCACCAGGTATGGCCTCAACTCTGGGCAGTTAAGGGTTGGAGAGTCAAGATGAGGCTTGATGGTGGAACCTCTTGATTTCCTGACTTGAGGAAGCATGCCTGTATCCTGTCGACCCTGTGGGAGCTGCTGACGTTCTTAAAATTCTGACAACAGAAATAACACAGGTCATTTGTGCACATGAGCAGAAATATGAGTTACGCCCAGTGTGCGTCTGCGCTTGGCATCCACGCCGGGGTCTGGGCAATGCTCTCACCCTTGCCGTGCTCTTCATCTCCCTTCAGAAGCACAGAAGGCCCCCGCGCGGGAGTGTAAGCCCACTGACTTCGAAGTCCCTGCAGCCTTCCTGAGCCGCCTTCAGGATCTGTGCTCCTGCTTTCTCAAAGACCTTGCTGGTAAGGATGGGAGGGAGAAGGGCCCAGGATCTACTTCCGTCACACCAGCCGGCCCGTTTCCTGCCCTTTCCAAGGTGGTTTCACATTGCAATGACACCGTCTAGATCTGTCTGGTCCCTTTGGGCCAGATTGCGGTTTGTACATCAGATCACACGGCTTTGTGGAGTACTGCTTTTATTATGTTGGCCCTGTCCCCACAGTGTTTGTCACTGACAAGATCTCCAGTTTCTGCCTTCAAGTGGCCTTGCAGGTCTTACACCGCAAACTGCCCCAGGACTGTGCCCACCTCTGCAGTGCCGTGATCAGCTACCTCAGCAGCCGCCAGTCCTCAGCCGATGGCAGGTACGGTCAGGACCTGGGCACCTACCAGGGCTGATGGTGCCAGGAGTAGCGAAGAGGGCGAGGGACAGAGGGGCGGGGGGTATGGAAGGAGGGGGGAGTGAATTGGGCCTGAAGAACTTTGTGTCCCTAGCCCCCTGCTGCTCTTCCTGCGGGATCAGACGAGTTCCAGGCTCCTAGAGCAGCTGCTGCTCGTGCTGGAGCCCCCGAGGCTGCAGAGCCTCTTTGAGGATCACTTGCGAGGACAGCTGCAGATCCTGGCTGCACATCCTATCGCCAACTTCCCTTTGCAGCGCTTGTTAGATGCAATCACGAGCCCAGCCTTGGTGAGTCGAGCTAGTCAGGTCGGTTCTGTACCCATAACCATTGTAGGTTTGTTCCTGGCACTTTTATTTATTTATTTATTTTTATGTTCCTGTCTTGGTCAGTGTTCCTTCCAACCACTGCCTTTGAAAATGTATTCCTGGGGGTTTCCCAGGGCCTAGTAGAAAGTGGCTTCTTCCCAGAAAAGCTGTGTCCTGGGTTCTCTCAGGACCTGGAAGCCTGGCATATATTGAGTTGACAGCTTGAGATTCCAAGGTCTACTCAGATACCTGCCTACAGATTTACGGGAGAGCTGGAGGCTGCTGCCAAGCGTCTCTCTCCCTTGGCCGTTCGGCACCAAGGTGTCATTTCTTTGCAATCTCACAGGCTGGGAGCTGAGGTGGAAGAATTCCGGAATGCTAATTCTAGAATTCGATCCTCTTGATAGTATGTTCTCCAGGACAGCTCCTCCCATGTGAGACAGCCCCTCTTAGCTCCCCCGAAGACTGTCCTGAACTTTAGTCTCAGTTTCTTCTTTTTTTTTTTTTTTTAAATTGGGGGCATACCTGGTGGTGACCAAGGCTTACTCCTGGCAGGGCTCAGGGAAACATGTGATGCTAGGGACAGAACCTGGGTTGGCTGCATGTAAGACAAGTGCCCTACCTATTGTACTAGCTCTTCAGCCCTTTTCTGCTTTTTCCCTTTGGCATTTGAGCCACATCTGCCACTGTCTAGGGGCTGCTCCTCAGTAGGGTATTCGGGAAATGATGTGTTGCCCAAGGGGCCGGAGAGACAGCTGGATGGGCAGAGCAGATGCTCTGTATGCAGGAGGCCTGGATTGATACCGAGACCACCAATTATGACCCGAGGACAGAAAAACAAAATGTGCAGTGCTGAGGATCAGATCCAGGCCTCAAGCGGGCAAAGCCCATGCTCAAGCACCTTGAGCCCATTCCTTGCCCTCTTGGTGATTATTTATTTATTTGCGGGTGTTTGTGCATGCATGCGTGTGTGTGTGCATGTGTGTGTGTGTGTTAGTGGTGGTCATACCCGGTAGTGTGTGTGTGTGTGTGTGTGTGTGTGTGTGTGTGTGTGTGTGTGTGTGTTAGTAGTGGTGTCATACCCGGCAATGCTCAGGGTTTTTTCCAGACTACACCCAGGAGTTACTCCTGGAGATGCTTGGGGGACCGTATAGGATGCCAGGGTTTGCACCTAGGTCAGCGGAGTGCAAGGCAAACAAACTCCCTACCCACTTGTACTGTCGCTGCAGCTGGTGATTTATTTTAACCCATGGCCTTTAGCAGTGTGATTTCTCTCGGAGACTAACCCACACTTACCCGAATGCTAAAAGTCCTTCCTCCGTGTCTCTCCTTAGCTGTCCCCTGTGTTTGAGGAGCTGAGCCCTGCCCTGGAAGCTGTGCTGGCGCAGGGTCACCCGGGCGTGGTCGTGGCCCTCGTGGGGGCCTGCCGCAGAGTCGGTGCCCACCAAGCCCAGGTCCTGCAGCTGTTGCTGGAGGTGAGTGGGTGTCACTCAGACATTCCTGCCTTCAGTTCTGCTTCTTACCTTGTGGGTTCTTGTTACCTTTGACTCAAGAGCTCAAGATTCTCTCTGAAGCTGACCGTGTGCGTTTGTGAACCTGAAGGGTCCAGCGCCTGGGGAGTTCTCAGATGCCGGGGGGGGTGGGGGGAACATGAGGGAGGCCCAGGGGCTCCTGACAGTCCTGAAATAAGAACTGTTTCCTCCAGGACTGTCACCAGAAAGTGACTTTCAGGAGTAGATATTTATTTGGCATCTTTTGTGTTCAGGGGGCCCAGAGATAGGGCAGGCTGGTTGAACTGTCCTCATGGAACCTGTATTCTCTCAAGGTAGGAGAATAGGCGCCCCTGTGGAGGCTCTAGAGTAAGGGTCCAGCTCATCTGCCCTTCCCAACAGGCATTCCACTGTGCAGAGCCCACGTCCCGCCAGCTGGCCTGCGCGCCCCTCTTTGCCACCCTGCTGGCATATGAAGTGTACTATGGCCTGACGGAGGAGGAGGGCACGGAGCCCTCGGAGTACCAGGTGAGTCCAGGAAGCAGCCAAGTGGGTGGGCCGTGGCCTCCCCTCCCTCATCCCTCTTCCAACACACACACATGAGGGTGGCGAGTCTGAGGCCCATCCCAACGGAGTGGGCAGTTCAGCGGCTGCCTCCTAAAAGCCCCATCTCTGTCTTCCCAGCCAGAAATGGCCGCAGAGCAGGCCCTGGGGGACGTGACAGTCCCGGGGTCCCTGCTGCTCCAGCATCTGCTGCACTTCTCCACGCCGGGGCTCGTACTGCGCAGTCTGGCCGCCCTAACGGGACCCCAACTTCTGGCGCTGGCCCAGAGCCCTGCGGGCTCCCACGTGCTGGACGCTGTCCTGACCAGCCCCTCGGTGACACGCAAGCAGCGCCGCCGCGTGCTGAAGACCCTGAAGGTCAGCCCTATGCCTGCCCCCGCCCCCTCTCCCCCTCCCCTGTCTGCGTTGCTTCCCCAGGCCCAGGCTCGGGAGGGAGAGAGGGGGATGACTGTGCAGCTCCTGGACTCCTGAGCTCATGGCCTCCAAATCCCAGAGACTTAACCCTCCAGCCCCCTCCCCCACGCCCCCAGTACAGCATAGATGCACACGCATAGGCTCTTGTGGTCAGCCCTGGGGGGACCTGCTTTGCCTCTTCGCTTGTCTCCATGCAGGGACAGTATGTGGCTTTGGCCTGCAGCCGCCACGGCAGCCGTGTGCTCGATGCCATCTGGAGTGGAGCTGCCTTGGGGGCCCGGACAGAGATCGCTGAGGAGCTCGGTGAGTGCTCGCTCTTCCCCTGGACCTTCCCCAACGTCCCTCTCTCTCTCACTCAAAGTGCTCGTGCCTGCGAGTGGACTTGACTCACTTCAGAGGCTAACCCTGGCTGTGGGCTCTCCGCCTGCTCGCCTCTCCCCTCTGCTGTTTATGCAACCTCTTGCTCTCACTTTTCTCCAGCCCTGGAGCCCTCCAGGCTCAAGGTCCAGGGAAAATGGACCTTTGTGGTACAGTAACCGAGCACCCAAACCTCGAAAGTTGTAACTATGTGACCTAAACTACAGTAGTTGATTTTTTTTTGTTTGTGTGCTTTTTTTTTTTAATGACCTGGGAAGGGAAGGTGTTTGACTTGCATGTAGCTGATTCTGTTCAGTCCCCAGCACTACATAGGGTCCCCCTAGCACCACCAGGAGTGACTTGTGAGCGCAAAGCCAGGAGCAACCTCTGAGAACTATTAGGAGTATTCCTCCCCCCCAACCCCAAACAATTTAAAAGATGGACCTTCCCTCCAAGTAGAGCTGCTGTGAACATTTTGCGGGTGACTTGACGGGGACATTGAGCACAAACGGTTCCCTTTCCAGGGGAGCGGAACCAGGAGCTGCTCAGAGACCCTTTTGGCCACCATGTGGCTCGCAACGTGGCCCTGACGACCTTCCTGAAGCGACGAGGGGCTTGGGAACAGCAGCAGGGTGCCGTGGCCAAGCGCAGGCGGGCTCTGGAGTCCATCCTTGGAGACTGAAGCCTGCCCACCGGGGCCCCGGGACTTTCCCGAGCTGGGACTGCAGACAAGTCTTCTTAGTAAATGTTTTTATATTTTTATTGGAAATGTTTTGTTGCTGTGTTCTGGGGGAGTGGTGGTGGGGGGAGGGAATGGGGAGGGTGTGAAGAATTGTGGCGTCTCAGGGTAAGTGGGAAGCTGGACTCCATTCTTCAACTTGGGCAAGACAAGGGCAGAGCCCTTGTTTATGGGGTCCGAGGTCCATGGGGGCCTTGACCCCCTTGTCTCCCATGTCTGAGGGTCCCCGTCCCAGACATGCTCACATTCCAGAGTGTTCCCCGGGGGTGCGCCCGGGGCCGATGCCTGAGGCACTTCTCAGTGGTGGTAGAGACGGTTCTGGTTCTGCCTCTGCAGCTGCTCTACCCCCTCCACCACGTGGCGCAGGGTGGAGGCGACGCCCAGCAGCACGCTGCCCATGCCCTGCAGCAGACTGGACAGCCAGCGCAGCAGCTCCCTGCAGGGACAACAGGACGGGGTCAGCCTGGCCTAGAGGACCACAGATCCGGGTACGGGGGGAGGGGGGGAGGGCGGGGGGGGGGGTGCGTGAGAACCTGAGGACTTTCTTGGGTCCAAGTCCCTGGAAGTCACAGCTCATGGAGTAGAGCCCATAGAACGTGGCTTTGACATTCAGGCTGCCGAAGAGGTCTCGAGGGTTTTGCTTGTACACGTCAAATGTGATGCTGGCGATGTCCTTGCTGTGCTTGGGCTTCTCCCGGCCTAGGCCATACGACAGCACCCCACTCTGTAGGGCACCCCCATCAGTGCCGGACCCCTCAGCCTGACCCTCAGCATCAGCACCCACATCAGTGCCGTGTTCCCTGCAGCCTGACCCTCAGCACCCACTCCTGCCATCCCCAGGAAAGTGCCTGTGCCAGCTCTCCCAGGGTGTGCCACCCACCCCACCCCCTCCCGAGATCAGGGTAAGGCTGGGAGAGAGACAGCGGGTGTGGCCTCACCCTGAGAGGGCTCCACCTCTGCCCAGGCTCCAGCACCATCAGGCACGTGTCGTCCTCCAGCATCTGGAAGAAGTCTTCACTCTCCACGGTGGTGCCGTCCTCCTCCAGCACCAGGGTGGGCTCCCCGCGCAGTGAGAGGGTCTCCAGGGCCTGCAGGTGGCAGGAAGCAGGAGGGCAGAGGAGGTCTAGGACCAGGCCGGTCCCTCTTGGCAGCTGACACCTGGGTGTGGCTGCATACCAGGATGGTTGACAAGCCCAGTGCTTTGCTGTCCCCTCAAAGCCCTGCCCCCTCAAGGCTCCACCTTCAGATTTTGTTGGGGACTCTCACAGGGGGCTCACCTTTTCCCCTACTGCTTTGCTCCACCCTCATCGCATCATTCCCCAGTTCCCCCAAGCCACTGCAGATTTGGAATTGGAGTTACCCAGACTATTCTGAAGCCCATCCTCCCTTCAGTCTCAGTTGAGTCTCAGCTCATGTCTGGAGCCTCCAGAACCGTTCTCAGCTTTAAGTAATGACCCTTCCCCTTCACTGTGTCTGGCACCAGGTATCTAGTGAGCATTTCATACACATCATCCTCTTCCATTTCTTTTCTGCATGCCTAGGAGGTATTATTCCCATTTGATTGATGAAGAAGACGAAGCTTTGATAAGTTCCCAGGTTTGGTTTTTTTTTTTTTTTTTGACACCAGCAAGTGGCCGAATCAGGATTTGAGAGTCGTACATGGTCATACATGGTTGTACAAGTCCATGTCAACATCTGGATTCCATTCCTCTGCCCGTTCTATCTATTCCCCTGCTGTCTGGTGAGGCTCCATACCCTGCCCTACCCTCAGAGGGTGGATGGCCATGGAACCTCAGCCCTTTCTGCTGGTCATCCCAGGTAGCCACTCTTCTGTCCCTTGACTGACCCTGAATTGGGGCACAGGGACCACCCACCTTCTCTAGCAGTTCCTGGTATGTGGCAGCGGTTAACCCTTTTCTGATGGTCCGCTTGTGATCACAGACACGGAAAGGTCGCGGGGGTGGGGGTGCAGGGGTCCAGACTCTGCGGCCAACCTCAGAGCTGACGTTCGAGACCGACCTGGTAATTGGGGAAAAAGGGGCAGGGGGAAAGGGTTTCTGGGTTAGTTGGATAGGGAAGGCGAGGTCTAGGTTCTCACAGTGGAGGAGTTGGGGAGAGGGACCAAGACCTGGTGTGTGGGTGCGGGGAGGAGGGTCAGGACAGACCCATGGTGGGGAAGGGTGGTGGGGAAGGCACAGACTCCAGAGCTGGCGGGAGGAGGGGAGGGCTAGTGCTCACCTGAGCAGGCTGCTGGGGTTCAGGGCAGATAGGAGCTCCATGGTGGCTGCGAGGGGGCTGCCTATCCTGGTGGGCTGGGTGGTTCTCCGCTGTACTGGCGTTGTTTTCTACCACAGAGCTGGGCTCTCAGCCCCTGTCAGGTGGGGCTGAGTCAAGTCGGACTCTGGTCCCTCTGCCTGGCCAGGAAGAAGGACAAAGTCCAAGGGGAGGGTGATAGGGAGGGCTCTCATGGGTTCTCAGGGAAGGATCGAGGCCCAGACTTGCCCAGCAGATGTTGTGGGACACTGCGTGCTGTGAGGGCAATCAGGAATCCTAAAAAGAGGTTGGAACCTGCTCATGGTGTCTTTTTTTTCTATAGAGAGGTTTTCTAGGGACAGTTTTCAGGCCTCCGACCTTCGACCTTCGAGAAGCTGCTCTATGTGATCCGCAGTGCGTGCTGCCGCCTACTGAGAAAGCCAGGAACTGCAGCTTTAGGGTGGCTGAGGGTGGGGGCAGGGGTGGGGTGGGGGGGGTTACAGGATTTGAGAGGAGGAGGAGGGGAGGGAAGGGAGACTTTACTCAAAGGTCGTGGTGTTCAGGCTCCCTGGCCTTCCTGCTTTCCTGTTCCTCCTCAGTTTAGGGCTGGGACTGGCTCCATACATATTTCTCTGGGTTCCATTTCCAGAGCTGCAGGGACTGTCACCTGGATCAGTCACATTCTCACCTTTCTCCTTTGGCCACTGCACGGGCATGAGAAGACATGAAAAGGGGTGGGTGGGGGGTACGTCCTCCAATGGCATCAGGACTTGGGCTCCGGTGACCCACATTCCATCTCTGCTTTCAGCTGCAGGTGATCCGTTCCCTTTCTCAGAAGCTGGGACACAGGGACTGGGAGATCAAGTCCCTCTGCTTCTGGGAGGAGCCTTGTCTAAAGCTATGGTAGCTCACTCAGCCCCCATAAGGACAGACTGCAAGTGAGCACAGGGTATTGGACAGATAGAGCAGCCCCAGTGGGGAGTGCATCTGGGTATGCACAGACCAGCCTTCTGGAAGGTTCCTGTGCTTAGTGGGGACCTCAGGATCACACACTTGGTGGTGTTTCTCTTCCTCCCCTTGCCCTATGCCCACTCTCCCGCTTCCTGGGCTGCCCTCCCAGAGACAGGACTAGCTTTCCCCTTAACCAGACTCTGCTTTGGAGGTACACGAACTGTAACCATCCTGATGTCCGGGCTCCCAAGGAGCCCCCGGCCCTGGCTGTTGACTGTGACTTCTCCCAGCTCCTTCAAACCCAGGTCTCCATCAGGTCTCATACATATATGTTGGCTATTTGAGTCACACCCAGCGATGCTCAGGGGTTTCTCCTGGCTCTGCACTCAGGAATCACTCCTGGTGGTAGTTGGGGAACCATATGGGATGCTGGAGATTAAATCCCAGTCAGCTGCATGCAAGGCAAACACCCAACCCGCTGTATTATTGCTCCAGCCCCTGACCTCCAATATTTTAATTTCTGAGAGCTGCCTGGCTTCCACCCAGAAGCTCCTGTTGGCCGCGCCCTTCATTTCTTGGCACTGCTGCAGGTGATAATGTGGTTCTTCATGGTTGGTTACGAGTGATGATGCTGAAGCCAATTATAAGTCCCTGACTCCTCTGTGCGATGTCCCCTTCAGCCCCTCAGAACTTCATGCCATCCCTGGGGCAGGGCCTGAGACAGGAAGTGAGAGGAATAGGTGGGAAACTGAAGAAGGGGGGGTAGGGTGGGTTCTGCTCCATATGGAGCCTGGATCTAGGCAAAGATTGAGCACTGAAAGGGAAAGGGCTGTTTGGGTGACCTTTGTGGAGCTCAGGCCACGGAGGGTTGGAGAACCATGAGGGTTAATGAGGGGTAGTGGTGGAGAGTAACTGGGGTCAGAGCTGGGCATGCAGGGGTGCAGAAGCTGGACCCAAGGGCAGCCTGCAGCAGACTCACTGCTCACCTGGCGGCTGGGAGCCTGCTGTGCATCTCTTTAGCTTATCTGGTATCTCGGAGAGGCAAGCTCTCGCAGGCCTGGACGAGTTCACCATGGGATGGCACGCAGGGCTGGAGGGAGGGGCCTAGGGAAGGGCCATAGGACTCACACCTCTCCCTCCCCATTCTCGCCTCACCCTCTGGAAGTCTGACAGGCGCAGGACAGGAGCCGGAGGAGACTCCTGGGCCACTACGGTCTGACCTTTCAGCTCCCCCAGACCCCTGGTCCTGGCTGGGTAAGTGGAACTGCCCATGTGCCTGGGCCCAGCCATTCACTCATCCCTCCCAATCTGCAGACAGAAACTCTGTGTGTGTGTGTGTGTGTGTGTGTGTGTGTGTGTGTGTGTGTGTGTGTGTGTGGTGATGGTGGTGGGGGTTCCCTGCTGGTTCCGGGGTGGAGACGGGGAGTCCTGGGAGCTGAGTTCCAGGCAGATTTTGGGGCTGAGAAGGTTGTGACTGGGATGCGGCTGACAGCGCAGGCGGCTTAGGGCTCAAGCAGGGGTATACAGTTCCCGCTGGGGAAGGCTGCAGGGGAGTGGCGGGGAGTCAGTCCCTTCTCTCCCCTCATCCCCAGGCAGGACGGGCGACCCCCCCACTCCCCCCCCCTCCACCCCCGTGCCAGGAAGGGCCGGATGACGGCCAGGCAGCACTGCAGACTCAGCAGGCTGGTGAGCACCACCCCTGAATGCCGGATCTGGCCCCTTTCAGGTCCCCCCTCCCAGCTGCAGAAGGATGTCGGTCTGCTACCGCCCCCCAGGGAATGAGACGCTGCTGAGCTGGACAGCCTCGCGGGCCACGGGCACGGTCT